TACTTCACTGTCTATTTTCTTATATAGTCTATGAAATACCTCACTTTGCTCTCAAAATGGTTTTTCTCTCTAACTTGGTGTGTTCTACAAATGAGCAAGAATGCTCTATTTATAGAAGGATAAAACCATACCTATGTCACTAATGACATATGTAAACATAGCAAAGTCAAAAATGGTTGCAAATCTTACCAATTTGCCAACTACCAAATCTTTTCTTTTCAACTCCAATTACTATTCATTTTTAACAATTGCTTGTACCAATTGAATAGCTTAAAGTTGACTAAAACAATGGGATGGATTCAACAAATCTCCCCCTCCAATCCCATTTACTGGAAGAAGGTATCTTCAACTTTTTTAGAGAGAGCTCATACCCACAAGTTCTTTGCATAACTCGAACTTGTCTTTTGGTATCATCTTGGTCAGCATATCTGCAGGATTTTCACTTGTGTGAATCTTTTTGACGTGAAATGATTCATTCTCCACTTTCTCACGAATCCAATGATATCTGACGTCAATGTGTTTTGTTCTTGCATGGTACATGGAGTTCTGACTGTCACAATAGACATTATACTCCATCTGATTCAAACCAAGCTCTTTAAGAAATCGCTTTAGCCATATCATCTCCTTGCCGGCTTCAGTAGCCGCAATATACTCAGCTTCAGTTGTAGATAGTGCAACACTCTTCTGCAACTTTGACTACCATGATATAGCTCCCCCTAAAAAAGTAAACAAATATCCAGTAGTGGATTTTCTGTTATCAAGGTCACCTGCCATATCAGAATCTGTATAGCCTTTCAAGATTGGATTTGATGCTCCAAAACACAAGCATTCATCTGAGCTTCCTCTAAGATACCTGAGTATCCATTTCACAGCTTTCCAATGCTCTTTTTCCGAATTTTCGAGAAATCTACTGACAACACCAACTGCGTGAGCAATATCAGGTCTAGTGCACATCATTGCATACATTAGACTTCCGATGACGGAGGAATATGTAACTTTGGCCATGTTCTCTTTTTCCTTCCCTAGCTGTAGGACACATCGTCTTGCTCAACTTCATATGACCAGCAAGAGGTATACTAACAGGCTTAGCATTCTTCATAGCTTTCTATCTGGCTTAGCAGCCCTTCTTCTTCTGGTGTGCCATGATGGTATGGAAGATGCATTTTCTCTGGCCATTGCAGGGCACTTCTCTTCATATTGAAGCGCTCCAGTACGCGTTCAATGTACTTCTTCTGGGACAAATAAATCTTCCTTTTATCTCTAAGACGAGTAATTTTCATGCCCAAAATTTGCTTGGCATGACCCAAGTCTTTCATAGAAAAAAGACTTACACAACTCTTTCTTTAGCTCGTCAATCTTGGAAGTATTTTTGCCCACAATCAACATATCATCCACATACAACAAAAGGATGATAAAATCATTGTCAGAAAATTTTTGTACAAATACGCAATGATCTGAAGAAGTCTTCTTATAGCCTTGCTCCCCCATAACATATTCAAACTTTTTGTATCACTGTCTAGGAGCTTGTTTTAGGCCATAGAGACTCTTTTTGAGTTTGCATACAAAATTTTCTTTACCATCTAATTTGAAGCCCTCAGGTTGTTCCATATAAATCTCTTCTTCTAGGTCGCCGTGAAGGAAAGCCGTCTTCACATCCATCTGGGTTTGGCTGCTAGTCTTAATTTAGAGATTGAGCAGATGGATGTGAAGAAGACTTTCCTTCACGGTGACCTAGAAGAAGAGATTTATATGGAACAACCTGAGGGCTTCAAAGTAGATGGTAAAGAAAATTTTGTATGCAAACTCAAAAAGAAGTCTCTATGGCTTAAAACAAGCTCCTAGATAGTGGTACAAAAAGTTTGAATATGTTATAGGGGAGCAGGGCTATAAGAAGACTTCTTCAGATCATTGCGTATTTATACAAAAAATTTCTGACAATGATTTTATCATCCTTTTGTTGTATGTGGATGATATGTTGATTGTGGGCAAAATACTTCCAAGATTGACGAGCTAAAGAAAGAGTTGTGTAAGTCTTTTTCTATGAAAGACTTGGGTCATGCCATGCAAATTTTGGGCATGAAAATTACACGTCTTAGAGATAAAAGGAAGATTTATTTGTCCCAGAAAAAGTACATTGAACGCGTACTGGAGCGCTTCAATATGAAGAATGCTAAGCCTGTTAGTATACCTCTTGCTGGTCATATGAAGTTGAGCAAGAAGATGTGTCCTACAGCTAGGGAGGAAAAAGAGAACATGGCCAAAGTTCCATATTCCTCCGTCGTCGGAAGTCTAATATATGCAATGGTGTGCACTAGACCTGATATTGCTCACGCAGTTGGTGTAGTCAGTAGATTTCTCGAATATCCGGGAAAAGAGCATTCGGAAGCTGTGAAATGGATACTCAGGTATCTTAGAGGAAGCTCAGATGAATGCTTGTGTTTTGGAGCATCAAATCCAATCTTGAAAGGCTATACAAATTCTGATATGGCAGGTGACCTTGATAACAGAAAATTCACTACTGGATATTTGTTTACTTTTTCAGGGGGAGCTATATCATGGCAGTCAAAGTTGCAGAAGAGTGTTGCACTATCTACAACTGAAGCTGAGTATATTGCGGCTACTGAAGCCGGCAAGGAGATGATATGGCTAAAGTGATTTCTTAAAGAGCTTGGTTTGAATCAGATGGAGTATAATGTCTATTGTGACAGTCAGAGTGCAATAGACTTGAGCAAGAACTCCATGTACCGTGCAAGAACAAAACACGTTGACGTCAGATATCATTGGATTCGTGAGAAAGTGGAGAATGAATCATTTCATGTCAAAAAGATTCATACAAGTAAAAATCCTGCAGATATGCTGACCAAGATGATACCAAAAGATAAGTTCGAGTTATGGAGCGCTTCAATATGAAGAATGCTAAGCCTGTTAGTATACCTCTTGCTGGTCATATGAAGTTGAGCAAGAAGATGTGTCCTACAGCTAGGGAGGAAAAAGAGAACATGGCCAAAGTTCCATATTCCTCCGTTGTCGGAAGTCTAATGTGTGTAATGGTGTGCACTAGACCTGATATTGCTCACGCAGTTGGTGTTGTCAGTAGATTTCTCGAAAATCCGGGAAAAGAGCATTGGGAAGCAGTCTGTGAAATAGATACTCAGGTATCTTAGAGGAAGCTCAGATGAATGCTTGTGTTTTGGAGCATCAAATCCAATCTTGAAAGGCTATACAGATTCTGATATGGCAGGTGACCTTGATAACAGAAAATCCAAAACTGGATATTTGTTTACTTTTTCAGGGGAGCTATATCATGGCAGTCAAAGTTGCAGAAGTGTGTTGCACTATCTACAACTGAAGCTGAGTATATTGCGGCTACTGAAGCCGGCAAGGAGATATGGCTAAAGCGATTTCTTAAAGAGCTTGGTTTGAATCAGATGGAGTATAATGTCTATTGTGACAGTCAGAGTGCAATAGACTTGAGCAAGAACTCCATGTACCATGCAAGAACAAAACACATTGACGTCAGATATCATTGGATTCGTGAGAAAGTGGAGAATGAATCATTTCACGTCAAAAAGATTCACACAAGTGAAAATCCTGCAGATATGCTGACCAAGATGATACCAAAAGACAAGTTCGAGTTATGCAAAGAACTTGTGGGTATGAGCTCTCTCTAAAGAAGTTGAAGATACCTTCTTCCAGTAAATGGGACTGGGAGGGGGAGATTTGTTTAATCCATCCATTGTTTTAGCCAACTTTAGCTATTCAATTGGTACTAGCAATTGTTAAAAATGAATAGTAATTGGAGTTGAAAAGAAAAGATTTGGTAGTTGGCAAATTGGTAAGATTTGCAACCATTTTTGACTTTGCTATGTTTACATATGTCATTAGTGACATAGGTATGGTTTTATCCTTCTATAAATAGAGCATTCTTGCTCATTTGTAGAACACACCAAGTTAGAGAGAAAAACCATTTTGAGAGCAAAGTGAGGTATTCCATTGACTATATAAGAAAATAGTCTGTGAAGAAAAATAGAGTGTGAGCGATATTTTAGTAAGACGAAAACCAAAAGAGTGTTGTTCCTTTTGAGTGTGTAGTAGTCACTTTGAGTGTTGTATTCGTGACTACACAGTGTAAAATTCCTTACTATAGTAATATCAGTTGCTCCTCTTGGCCCGTGGTTTTTTCCCTTATTCAGAAGGGTTTCCACGTAAAATTATTGGTGTCGTTATTTTCTCATTTTATTTCCATTACTTTTACCATATATACTTTTGTGCTTGTCCGCGTTTTCCCAACAATTGATGAGTAAAGAAAGTAGCAATCAAATTCATTTTGATGTAACCAGTTTACCACCTAAATTTTCTTAACAATGCAAACATAAGAGGCATAACAATAATTTAAGTTAAACTTACAGAAACAAAGGAGAAAATCAATCACAAGTAGTCAAGCTAAAATTTGAGCTAATGAAATATCTACCAAACCAAGACAAACAAAAGCATACAGGGGAGGAGGTCAAATTTCGGAGGATGATAAAAGCACCGTCAATTACGAACAGTCTGTCTACTACTCTGAATAGTTCAAATAATTGCATGAAGAGGCAAGTGTTGAACAAATTTTCTCTGTCAATAAAGGCTGCATGTAAAGATGTTTCTTTCCCTTGGCACTCTAGAGCCAACTCCTGAAACCTTATAACTTCTTAATCAAGCAGCAAAAAGAAGATAACATTTGGCTACAAGAAGAAATCCTATGAAAATGTTCTTCATCAGTAAAAAGAGCCCTAGTTAAAAGAAGAATTCAATTTTATAACCTCTTGAGGAGTGCCCTAGAACTAAATATGTGTTTAACATGAGTTTTAAACATCTTCTAGAACTAAAGTTTTGCACTAAAATGACTGTAAATGATAGTAGATGCACTTGAAACCAACAAAAGCTTGATAGAAATCAAAATAAATAATTGACTACTTAATGACTGTAAATCCACAAATAAGTTCCTAAGTATTAGAGTCTTACCTAGCTGAGCCAGCTATCTGTTCATGGAAATCGAAGGTATAAACATGGCCAATGGGGGAAACAGCCCTTGCAAGCGAACTTGTCAAAGATCCACTTCCAGTACCAGATTCAAGTACCACACAACCAGGAACGATCTCCAGGTACATAACAACAAAACTAATATCAGCTATATAAAGGATCTGGGTTCTGTAACTCGGTACGAGCGTCCATACCTCAGGAGTTGGACCTAACAAGTAAACAAAAGCACCTTTGTTACTCAAAACCTTGGACCCAAAAGTTTTACCTATCCATTCAGAATGCTTAAAAGCACCAAAACAATTCTGCAGAACCCTATTCTCACTTACCTTCACTGCTTTCATTGTGTCATGCCTCTCATACACAATGACCAAATCTCCATCTTTAATAAAGCGCTTAAACGATAATTTATTTGGTGGGTCAATCGGAAGTATCATTTAGAATGGTTGGATCTTAATTACCTACCAAACATAAACCCAATAATTACTCGAAAGCTTCAAAAGTGCAAAAAAGAAAACAGCAAAGACCCAATAAGCTATGCAGCTTGAAAAACAGAACTGTAACCTTAACGATTCGTCAAACCTAGAGCTTACTGGTTCGGTCAAGCCTGTAGCTTTAGTCCAAATCTAGTGTATTTGTCTTAAGAAATCCATTGAAAATGTGCAATGCTTCTTGTAGTTAATGAATACTGGGCTTTACTGGATTTTAGGATAGTCATTGTCAGTTTGTCATTGATGTCATCTGTTGCATACCTTTTAAGACGTTTCTCTTGTTGTCAAAGTAGTATCAAGCTATGTTGCTCAGACTCTCCAAAATTGTTGTTGCACCTGTGACGGATTCTCCAAAATGCATTATGGAGTATCTGATACACATTTGTCGACATTTTCGAAGAGTCAGAGCAACATATGCAACATATACAGATGTAGCCTAAGAATGCTTGTATAACAGTTTTGTATAAATTTTTGTATAACAGTTTGTATATTAGCGTAACAATGCTTGTATAACAGTTTATATAAATTTTTGTTCAACTTCCAAATGAAATGGATAATTATAACACTATGATGGAACCATTCATGCATTGAACAACACTAACATACTCATTCAATTTTAAAAAATTCAAAGGGGAAAATCAAGTGCTTGACCAAAACAGGACTGATTTAGAACAAAAATAGGGTACTTAAAGAGAGAACCAAACCAAGATCATGAATTATACACTAGTTACCCTTGTCTCAAAAAAATTATATACTAGTAGAAATAAAATCGCTTAAGAACAAAAATTGCTTAATATTTTCTCTGATGGGCACTAATGTATCTAGCTCACAAAAATCCCGAAAAACTATATCAATCAGCCATCTATCCCCCAATTCCAAACTAGTTAGGTTCAACAAACATAAAACCACTCAGATGTTTAGAAGGTAGATGTTCTTCCTCATCTTTTGTAAAGTTCAACTGCTAAGATAGTACCTTCTTTGTGTAACACGAAAGCAGTTGATGATTTCGACATCAAGAGGAGCTTATTGACTCTCTGCATAGTTCAAGAGAAGATTTTTTGAATCTTTTTTGTAACTTTGTAGCTCCCCCGTAGTGCAAACAGGATCCAGGGAAGGTCCTCACCCCAAGGATACACAAAGAATCCCTCTTACTGCTATAAGGTGAACTACTAAAATGTACCCTGGAAACTAAATCCACATATATTCATGTCTGTTCGAGCCAATTCACATGGCAAATAGGAACGCAGTGATGAAGAAGAAAGAAAGTTCATAAATGCTACTTCTAATTTTAACTGAAAACAAGAACTCAAACACTTTTTTTGCAACTTAATGGGTATTTAATGTATCAATAATTAGTTAACTGAAGAGTTATGAAAAGAAAACAATAAGCATGCAATGACATAATATACTATATGATCCTACCATATTTTAGCACACATATTATACAAAAACTCTTAGGAAACGCGTTGAATGAAGCAGTTGGCACTACTTCGGTCATAGCTAATCTTTACAAGGAGCAGAACGACTTGAGAGAAAGAACCAAATCACCTTATACCTATCATTTGCACATTATCTACTATCAAACTACAAGCTCAACAGAGGAAAATGAATATAGAGGAGATTTGTAAGGAAATACGCAGCATGTTGAAGGAAAATAAAAGCTGAAATGAGCTAGGATTCAGAAAGAAACATAATCTTCACCCTTTCGATACTAACTCGGCTATGAGCAGTAAACAAAAAAACTTGATTAAAACGAGGCATGTTCAACAATAACGCAACAAAAACATCAAAAAATAAATAAATAAAACTAAATTATTTGAAGAAGGATAGAGTTACACCACATATAATTAGCCGGATCAGTTAATCTTTGAAACTTAAACCTATATAAATGACAACACTAACAACAACCAATGCAGCACAATGATGCTTGAAGTCATATAAACGAAAGAGTTCAGATTCAGCGACATTCCAATAGCAAACAAAGAAGATACGAGATAAGTTCGAATAGTGAAACATAGAATCAACCATACTAAATTTGAAGTGGCAAAACGATATTAAGCATAAGCCAAAGGGATCACTTAACAATACATGTATAGCATGTACAAGCCACTAACACTCGAAATCGATTAATAGCAACAGAACAACAAAATAGTGATTTCACCACATCGAAACGTCATATTGAAGCAGATAAAAGATGAAGAAAGTATTATAGAGGAGGCATTACCTTTTTCCAGGCAGTGGATGGCACTAAGACGCGCCAAAGACACCGAAACTTCCCACCACTTATGGGTTCTGCTCCGAGAAACAAGACAAGAACTCGAACAAAAGAACAATAGAACAGCCTTCTCAAATTCTTTTGGAACTTCTCACCACTCAAATTCTTTTCAGCTCATAAGAATGCAAATTCATTTATACTACAAACTGGGACTGCTTCTGTGTAATGATTTACTCTTCTGTATCCACTGGAAAAGAAAAAATAATCATTTACTACACTTGTCTTCAACATAATTTGACTGATTTTTTTAGAATGTTCCTCCTTCACAAATTTCGAACACATTTCACACTCGAGTACTCAAAGATTAACGCCTTATTATATGTTACTTTAGAATTAGTGCAAGCCTACTTGTAAAATCATCAAGAATCAGTAGGTAAACTTACCCCTCTCTTTTTCCTCATTTGATATCTCTATTGTCTAGTCCTCCCCAATTCTATTACTTCAACCTTTTAATTCTTTTTCTTATAGTCTAGTTCGACTATGAGAGAACGTCAATAAACAGAGTTGTTTCATAGATTCCCTCTTATTGTCCTATTTTATATCTCAATTTGATATAAAATAATGTACAACGAAAAAAAAAGAACCAAAAAAATTTCAATTTAAGAAAAGGATAACTAACATAATAGAGGCGGGACAATGTAGAGCCAATAGTAAGCAGAGAAGAATATTAAATGTACACAACAGTGCAAGACTGTGGATTGTGGAAGTGGCTCAACTTAATTGAGTTGAAGGTTAAAATTGTAGCTAAGTGGTGATACACTTTCGCACTCGCAAAAAATTAGTTTAATCATCGCACAAGATTATATGCAAACTTGAGCACCTCCATTAACAAAGAAGAATATAAACAAGAAAACTAGACGCATATAAAGGCAGGGAAAACTTTCTGGTCAAGAATCAATCTCTAGAGCAACTGAAATCCTCCACAAATGCAGTCTAACATCCTTATATATGTATATATATATATATATATATGCAAACTAGAGCACCCATGTTAACAGAGAGATGTATGAACAACAAAACCCTTTTTAGTCTTTAACTTGTAATTAAAGAAATTAAATCAATTGTTTCACCAGTCCCTGTAGGCATTTCAAGAAGAGAATTCCCTTTTGCATCTAAAGCTCTTTTTGGTTCTAACATGAATTGATACTGTTCTGGATTATATGATTTGGAGGATTTTTCAATAACATCTTCAATTAAGCAACGGACAAGAGCAATAATCTAATTTCTACATCATCAGAGAATTCCAATGGCGAAAAGAATTTACCTCAGCGGCAACAAGATAGAAGTTGTCGGCATTTGAGCCAGTTTTGGGCTGTCTTTCCGCCATTTGAGGAGACTGCGAGATCATCGGAGTCGCCGGACATTGCAAGTGCGTCGATGAGGCAACAAGGTAAGTGGCAGCGAAATTCCACCAGCACTACTACCGTCTACGGCGGAAGTCGCCATTCTTCTTTGGGGTTTTAGTACACCAATTTCTTACCGTTGGGGTACCACTGACTACTTTAATTCAAAAAAATGAGTCAACAGCCCTCCAAGTTTTGGAAGTAATCTTTTTTTTAAAAAAATTGGCTAGTTCAAATATACACAATTAAGTAATTAGATTACAACAAAAATAGTCATATTTTCTATAAAAAAAAATATTCAAAAAGTTATAAAAAGTATATATTCAAATGTTACACATTCGTCGAATGTTTAATTTATATTTATTGATACCTTTTATTTTATACTAATTTGATAATATTTTACCACACATTAAACTGTGTTTCAATTTCGTTTAATTTATATTTACTGATACTACAATTTTATACTTGGTTGACAATATCTTTTGACAAAATGTTGATACTTCAACTAACAACAAATCCACATTTAATAGTGTCCCCGTTATTTTTTAATTCTGAACTCGCTTCTAGTGATTAACATTCAAAATCATGAATGACCTCAATCACACCCTTTGATATTGCATGATGCTAATGAACTAATACGATGTTTATGAACTCTGAGCGGAAGCTGAAACTTAGTTAATTTAAACATGTACCCAATATAAATCTAAACAAAATGATCGAGAATTCCATGAAACTAAATAAAAGTCTATACTTTCTGAAAATAAAGAAATAAGTTGGTGGCACCCAACTATCTTAAAACAAACAACATACTTGATGATAAATTTACTACCCTCCGTTTCAAAATGAGTGATCTAGTTTGACTTGACACAAGGTTTTAAAAAATAAAGAAACTTTTGAATCTCGTAGTTTTAAACATGTCCTGTGGCAAAACTGAAATTAAAATATTACCAAAAAAGAAAAGATGTCATTCTTTTTGAAACACATTAAAAAAGAAATGAGATCATTCTTTTTCAAATGGAAGGAGTATTAACTAATCCATGAAGTTTCCAAATGAGAAGGATCACCAACTGTTGACTAGGAAGTTGCAATATGTTTAACCACGAGTTCGAGAATGAACGCTTGATTCTACATTATGAAAAACTATAGTGCAGAGGAAGTATGTTTTTGATATTTTATGCTTGCATTCTAAGTTTCCGACTGTTGATTCATTTCTTATTTTTTTTTCTAGATATCGAGCTAACTGCTCTACTCAACTATTACATGTACTGCAGATTACATGCACACAAAAGTTCACTTCCACTTGATACAACATATAATGGACATTATAA